ACGGCTATGGGAATCTACTAGTCCTTCTGATTTTTTACTAGTCTCGGACTAATGGACTAGCGTTAGTGTCGAACCCTGCTAAAAAAGTAACGCCAATGTCGTGTACGTTAACGTAACAGGTATGTGGCGAACAAGGGCTATTGTTCTAGAGCTAAACCAGAAATACTGTAAAACGTGGCTGTTCGGTAATTTGCACACATTGTACCCGTGTACTGTGCAGCTCTTTTTCTCCTGCTACAGAAGTGTTCCCGTAGCTTCCTGTAGAGTGTAGTGGAAGTGGTGTCAGTCTGGCTGGTCTAGCTGACACTGTGACTGTTGAGGCAAAACGGGTAGAGTCACAGGCACTTGAAGCGTATCAACTGTAAACATACGCCGCCGCCATTGCGCGTACACGTACACATAAATATAGAGTATATAAATATATAAATATCACTTGAAGCGTATCAACTGTAAACATACGCCGCCGCCATTGCGCGTACACGTACACATAAATATAGAGTATATAAATATATAAATATATAAATATATAAATATACACTCTATATTTATGTGTACGTGTACGCGCAATGGCGGCGGCGTATGTTTACAGTTGATACTCTTCAAGTGCCTGTGGGTAGAGTGTTGTGCACCCATCAGTCATGAAATTAAGCCATCCACTCCTTTTATCTTCCTATAACTGTGTGGGACTATATCAGGAAACACTGAACTAGTGTACACAGTGCAAGTGCAATGTATAACATTACTCAAACACAAAATGTTGGGTTTTTTATTAAAACAGTTCTTTCACCTTATAAATATATAGTGACATACGAGCAGCACGAACAAAACTGCTAGAGTTATTCCCGGATACCAGCCAGGATGTGACAGTCATGGAAGCAGCTATCACCGGCTATTTGTCATTGCTGGAGGGTTTTATTACTGCCAGTGACGGGGCAGGGGGAGAGAGCAAACTGCGATATGCTGTAAACTTTAAATGGACCAACTCTATGCTTGGCCTCAGTGTTGTGTAAGTATGTTTAATTGAAGTATTTTTGCTGTGTTTTTTGTTCGGCATCACGTGCAATAATTGAGACTAGATTCTGGTTGGGTTTCAAAGTTTGTCATTGTATCCCCCGCGACGAAGTCGGCGCGGATACTATGGTTTCATGTCTGTCCAGCCGCTCGGCGCCGCCGCAGACACTTTCCCTTCCGCACTATAACTCGACCCCTAATTGACCTAGCGCTACCAAACTTGGTATACTTACACATCTTGGGGAGAAGGTGTGCAGCGTAGCGCAAACCCAGTTAATGCGCCCTTCATATTTTGACCTATTCCTTGACCTTAACATATTGCCTTCGCTCTAGTAACCGGCACGCCTCCTAATTACCATTACCTACGAAACTGTATAGAGCTAAACATCTTGGGAGAAATCGTCCGGTGGTGTTGTCTTTTTGGGTTTGGGCTTGTGTCTCTTTGGTTTCTGTAGGACAGCGTACCTAAATTAAGTCACCGCACTACCTTAATTTGACTGTTACCTACCTATCAATTCCGCCTCCAGCTCTAGTAAACTCGCCTCTAAATGGACCTACGCGCACCAAACTTAGGTATACCTAACAACATCTGGCGGAGACAGGTTCACGTACCCAAGAACAGGCACGCGACTTTATTGACCTGACATATCCTTCCCGGCCAATAACTTCGCCCCTAAGGACGGCTAGCACGCAAACTGTAATAACTTCACACATCCCTTGGAAGGGGTCACATAACCGAAACCCAGAGTTCACTGCAAACCTTTATTGACATGACCTTCGGGACATGAACCATTCTCCATATTTCCGTTTCCAGCCTATAACTTGCCCCCTAATGACCTAGGCACGAGCAAACTCGTATAGCCTTACAACATCTGGGGAGAAGGGGCTCGGCTAACGGGAAACCCTAAGCAACCAATTAACATACTGCACACTTAGGCAGATGAATTGTTGTAACAAACCTTGGGCTTGACTTATTAACTTTACCCTACCTCTACGGCCTTAACAGGGAGATAGTCATTCAACAGATCACGGGGAAACAGTAGTGATACAACTCCAGTTCAGGGTCAAAATCTTAATTTATTAGACCACTTCGGGATACCAGGTATCAAATCTGCATCCCCACCCAAAGATCTTGACCATTTTGGATAGAATACTTCAACAATTTGTATCACAAATCTAAATATGCAAATAATAGCATTGAAATGATAATATGTAATTAATATTAGATAAAAACAGAAAACAACACAGCATAGCAACAGACAAGTACACTGCAGACGTATTGTCTAGATGCATTGTCTGGTTCGCTTGATACAATGTATACACATCCTGATTTTAAAGATTTTTTTTTACTATCCTGGTGGGATACCAAGCATACACCGATTGACAGTTCCGCGCCTGTGTTCTGCGCCAGTAGTTTCGCATCTCCACGAGAGCCCGGATGTGCGAGTAAACTCCGCCATGTTGTTTATCTTGATGCGTTATCTGCCTTGCATACGCAGGTCACTCACCGTTGAGTCGAAGAACAGTGCACGTAGCAGGGAATAGAGCACCGATAATGGATGACCTGAGTGACATGACACTTGATACATTTAATTTATGGTCAATGCATGCTCTAAAAGTCTTTCTTAAGCCAATACAATCCGTTTGAGCAGCCCTTCACACTACACGTTAACGCCATTGTTCGCGCATTTTACTCGCAATTCTGGGACGGAAAATTCCTTCCGACCTTTGACCTTAGGCTTAGCGCATGCGCAGTGTTAAACTGTCAACCGGTGTATTGAAATTTGGTATCCAACACAAGAATCTACGATCCCACGGATATCGGGATACCGCTAATTTTGACCCCTGTTTCTAGTTGTGTCTGGAAACATGGAAACTTTTAACCATCCAACTATGGCTTGAAATTGGATGTAACATTATAAGTGATTAAAATTTTAATTGTGCCAGTCTAATGACAAATATATATCTGAATTTTTAACTCGTGATGTCATCGTACTTTCTTAACTAAGAATTTATTTTAAAATTGCAGAGAACAGCAAGATGCAATATTTGACTTTTGCTGCATTCTCGTCAATATAGGCCTTTGGTATACAAAACATGCAGCAGTAGTTGCAGGAAAGGATGGGTAAGAGTTCATAAAGCAATGATGCAGATGCACACAGCGAGTTGATTGCATGCTAACCGCATAAATTCCTAAATTTGGGAGCATTTGAACAATAGACTTGCATTGTGAGTGCTTGCAAGTGTAACAGTTCTTAAAGTCATTAGTTTTGTTTATTTATACACATCTAGAATTTCTATGGATGAAGCAAAGGATGTGCATAAATGTCTCCGAAAAGCGGCTGGAGTATTTCAGTTGGTCAAGGTAATGGTGCTACGATTAGTATATTATCAAATTCAAATTATTAAGATGTGGTAATATTTTATGTAAATATTAACTGGAAAATTTGCCTCGGTTGGATAGACCTTTCCTATACCCTCATGTAGCTTGCCACATGATACTTCACTATTATAAATCTAATTAATAATTGTATGATTATTAGGTATGCGTATTCAATTCAATTCATAAATAAAAATGTTTCACTTAATTTATTACCAATAAAGATGTTCGGAAAGCATTTTACCAATGCCTGTACGTTTCCAGGATGAGAAGGGGAAGTTATTGCAACAGGAAATGGTCACAGCTCCAGGAGCAGACCTGGATTCCAGGATCCTGGATGCATACATGCATCAGTCTGTAGCTGAGGCACAGGAAGGTACAGCATCATTGCTGCTGGTTCCTGTAATTGCGTAATCAGGGAGGATGCTGTGCCAAACTATGTGAGATTTTAAATGAGCTGTCAGTCTCTAAACCCCAATGATACATTTTTTGTAAGTGTTTCATTGATCTGTCCGTCTGAGCAAAATATTTGAAGACCGCTACTGTTACAATGCTGATTTTCTAGAGCTACCTGTCAATGGCTATAGGCAGATAGGTCAGTCAATGCTCTCTGCACAATGATTCATTTGGTGTTTCTCAGACTGGCTAGGTCATCCTGTAATGCAATCAGGGTACCTGCATTGACAAACGATAACACACGTGATATTGTAAAGGGGTGCCGTGCTATTGCCTGTTTTTCAGTGACAGTTGCAAGAGCTATTGAGCTGAAACATGCAGCGTCATTGACGTCAGCATTGGCGAACGAAACTTCGAAGATATTTCAGTCTGCGCTAGTTTCTCTTCAGACGTTAGAGGATCCCGTTTTTGGAAAGTGGAAGATATATTTACAGCTGAAGCATGCTATTTACCAGGCTTATGTGAGTAGCGAAGCATTTCGTACGTACATATTACGTCTTTCTTTTAAGCTGATCTTTTACCTCGGTCAGATTCATTTCAATGTATAAGGCCATAACGATGGGAGCATTTAAAAGAATATTATTGCCAAACGAATAATTAAATATTATGCTGTATTACTATATGATCAACTCGGCTCGATGAAATCCTGAGAAATTTAATTGTCGCAGAGCAGAATATTTTGTTTATTCATGGCGATTAGCATTCTAGGGGAAATATGTGGATTGATTCAATAAAATTTTTAATGTTATGTAATCCTGATGTATTGATTTCTGTTGGTATTCAGGCATACACCTACATGGGAGAAAACCTACTTGCTCAGGACCAGGGTGGCAGTGCTGTCAGTGCCATGAAGCAAGCATTGAAGTGTTAGTTCAGTTGTTTAAAAATGCGTGCTTCATATCGAACGACTTTGTCACGTGATGTATACAACAAGTTTAGCTGTTGCTAGTGCAACGTCTTCCGCAGTGAGTAAATTCGCCACACCATACGCCTCGTATCAATACAGCCGGTTTCGTATCAATATCTAATCTCGGCTATGTCACAGAGATTGATGTGCATCTGTGCTTTACGTTTCACAATCCATCACAATTAAAACCACATCACGCGTATGGAACTGAAACTCTAAATTTCTAACTAGCTCTTTGGTAGTACATTTCTATACCATTCAGGTGTGATGTGGCCTTTGCAGTTAGACATTTTGATATTAAGCTGCAGTTAGCTTTTTTTTACCTATTGTGGATAATTCAGGCATGTTTGCACATGCAGGTTATGAATGTAGACCTATATATCCATTGATATCTTTTCACAAACTGCATGCAGCGCCCCCTTCCCACACTCAGGATATACCACTGCCACAATGCTAGCACTATTTTTATAGTGGGCGGAGCTCCGGGGAAATCCAGCAAATGGCAAGCCAACGGCCGCGAAGTCGCCGCCAAACAAAACATTAGAAATTTCTATGATTTGCATGTTTGTTGGTGGACAAATTTAGATGTTTTAAGCTGAATACGCAAAAATGTATCAAAGACAATGTTTGAGAATTAGGTATATTGATAAGCATCCCGAAAATTCATGATAAATACGTGAACTTAGTTTAGTAAACAGCGTAATGATTTGAAAGTAGTAAACGGGCGCACTATTTCGTATCACTATTTTATAAAATATTTTTCATGAAATAATGGTCCGACTTTTATTATCTTTGCAGCTTTTATAAGTAAACACCGTATTACATAGGACAGGAGTAACGGGGTCGCTGTAAAACTTATAGTAAAAAAGCGTAAGAAATTCTTACGGAAATCAGCTTGTGGCAGTGGTAGAATTGAGCCAGAGCGAGAGCGCCATCTGTCGTGGAGTTTGATCTTTTCAACTGTTATGTATAATTCAGGTATGTTTGCTCACGTAATGTACGAATGTAGATATATTCCTTGGTGTCTTTTCAACTTGTGCATAATTCAAGTACGTTACTCGCGTGCAGGGTACGAATCGTCCGAGCTACTCTGCAAGGAATATGCTGCTGCGAAGGGGCCAGGACTCTCGGCCAAGCCAGAAAGCCATCTGTTCTTCCGCAGGCTGGGACCACTAGTCAGGCGCATACTAGAGAAAGCTGAGCGTGAGAATGGCTTCATGTGAGTACTGTATACTATACCATACTAATGGGAGGCCCCGTCCCTTTCTAGATCATCAAACGGCAAGTGCCATTGTTGCTCTCCTTGCTTCCGTGGTGCCGATGAGAATTGGACAAATTTCGCGGCATTAAACTGCCGTAGGTGCACTACCTGGTTTTGCTTCTGTGGGCTTCTCGTTTATCCCATGTTGTGTACGTATTCCCGTTTGACCCACATGAACAATGTTGTTAAAAAGTAGGTGTGGTTTTGCAAATCCTCCCATTGTGCAAAATGTTCGTCGTGTTTTTATCTCGTATAAACGAAATGTACACTAATTCTGACTGGCTATGCGTGCATTTCCTGGGTGTTTAATTTTGAACCATAGTGACATCAGTGGAGTCCCAAGTTCACATTGTGTCAAACCCATCACCTACCTTGAGATAGAACAGTTTAATAAAAAGATGCCCATAGCCCACAAAAACAGCCGTCAGCTCCCCGAACTGTACAAGTACGTGAGTGTACATTAGGGCCATAACAGGGTAGAGAGAAGCAGTTGCCCCCCCCCACCAAAGTAGATACTTTAGGTAGTCAATAGCCAATAACGAACTGCCCACCGTCAACTGATCAGAATATCAAACATGCGTGGCTTTGCCCTTCCACCCCAAAGGCAAAATGAGTTGACTAGGTCCTTGTACATGATAAATCAAGAATATAATTCGCTGGCAACTGTGTAAATTGGAACGTGCTGCCCCCTATTGGCGTCGATGATCACTTGCTTGACTCGGAATCAATAGTTTTACAATAGTGCGTTTACCAAATAGCTTCTTTCGTAAAGTCCTAGATTATTTCCTCATGTAATATGCTACCCTGTTGCCAATGTTTCTGACATATATAGTTCATGTTGGGTATAAGACAATTTTTCTATTTGAAAGGTGTAGTGAAATAGTAAGACGTTTTAGCAAGAGCGGATAATACCTAGAGTGTACAACGGAAAAACGGGAAAATAGTGCTATTTCACGACTA